TGAGGTCATCTCAGAGAGTCACGTCGTGCAAAACGGCCCCCACTCCCCCATTGCCCCCCACTGCCCCCACTGCCCCCACTGCCCCCACTGCCCTTTCACCAATAAAAGAGGCACAAACTCTACAAACAGTCCAACATCGACTCGTGCCATTGAATGTTGCTCTTGGCGTGAGTTTCACTTGCTTTTTTGATAAATTGTAATTAGTTGTTTTATTGTAGTGTTTCCATTAGTGCACCCTTCTTTTCACCCAACATTAGGTAAGGTTTTAAGGTTTATTTAAGGTGTGTTAAGTTAAGGTTTTATTCCTTACTTCGTTTATCCTAAGATGGGCGAGGTAATCCTCGGCGATCGCCGCGTATTGTTATCAGTCGGTTAATGTTACAGAGTTCTTCGTGCATCGATGTGATCGCAATGAGCGGCACCTACCGTATTTTTCCCCTTTTCTTATTTTCTCTGTTTTAGATTGATGTTTACAAATACTGAAGTACGGCATTGAATATTTATGTTGCGAAATTTGCGCCAAATATGGAACCGAAGAGTGAGCTGCTTTCTGGGGAAGTTTCCTAAAGATCCTTCCGACAAACAAAAGTGGACTAGATAAAGTGGTAAGGGAAGATTTACGACACGGGCTCTAGCCGACCGCAAGCAGGGCAGCGGCTGGCATGGAATGGCCAGAAGAAAAGATTCGCACTCGGGCCGGGAACGAGCCGGTTCGGGGCGCCGAGAGATGTCGGACGAGAATGCGAATCGCGAATCTTGGGTCGAAACGCGAGAACAAATATTGAGGCATCAGCTCGAGAAAGCGATAAGGACAACCGTTATATTCAACCATTCTACGGATATTCAACCGTTCTACATAACGCGGATGGTTCCACGGCACAAAGTCACGGTTGCGTCGAACAAACTAATCTCATTCCTGCGACTTATTTTGAGCCGATGCTCCTCTATTCTTCTGTCGCATTCGAAAGGAAGATCTCGCTTCGCTGCTCGCGCCGTTCGACTGCGAGAGATCCCCGTTCCTCCTTCGATTTCTCCCGGTGTTCTTCTAACTACGGAGTTACTTTTTTTTTATTTTTCTCGAAACGCCTCGAGGGCCGCTTTAGGGCCCGATTCTTCGGAAAATAAAATAAAGAAGCAAGAAACGCCTCCTGCCCCATGAAGGCATACTCGCGGATACCCACTGCAAGGAGATTTGTGTGTTACGCTGCGCTCTGAAAATTTAATTTGGATATGCGCCACATACCTGCGGATGCTCTCAACCACTTTCCTGCCAGCAACTAAATGTACAGTCCACTCCACATAACCGAATATTCCAGAGACCAGTGAGCTTCGTTCTGTAGGGTGTTCAGAAATGACCTCAACCCGTGACCCGTGTAAGTAATATTTGTCTCTTTACTTCTCGGGTGAACAATGGCTGAAACGAGATATTCACTCGAAGAAAGAATCTTCTTAGTGTCTAATTACATACGAAGTAGGAGTTACACTGTAACCCAAGATGTATTTGATGAAAAGTAAGGAGGGAAACCAGAACTTTGTTGGAAACAAGAACAAGTTGCAACAGAACGTTCAGCAAACTGTCGAGGCTATCGATCGTGCAGTATTGATCCGTGTGTTTAACAATACGATACAAAGAGTTCATTCGTGTCAAAATAGTTTCAACATCTCATGCGAAATTACCATGGGTTGCGGTAATTTTCGAACACCCTGCATGATGAGGAGTATTCTAATAACCAAAACTCGCGTACTGAGCTACTTTCAGGCGGTTTTTTATGTTTAAATATAGGGTAAGTGAGACGAATTTCAACTCTGCCATAAATTCAGCTCCCCATTATTGAATATAGCAAGAAATCAAATCTGCCTTTTTCAACCAAATTAAAGCAATGTCCGACCTCAAAACGTAAATGGACCGTGTGCATTTTTTTCCTGAATGGTGTAGATCCCAAAACCATCTATTTCAAATCACTTCCCCGAGAACAGATTCTGTTTTTGCGCATTCGCCATTTCTTAAAATGCAATTTGCATTTATTTTCTCGCTCTTAGTTTTTTCTGTCCCATTTTTTTCTAAATTTCTTCCGTTTTTCTGTGCATTCGTGTTTTTCTACCTTCAGCACAAATGTATATATTTTTTCACTTTTAAAAGATTTAAAAAAAATTTGCATCTGCTCTTTTCCTTCAGTTCGTTCATAACTTTTCCATTATTTTATTCCTTTATTAGTTTCTCAGTTTGCTTTCACATAGCCCCTTGAAAATGTGAAGAGACTGCTGCTCATCTTGGTTCCACGGAGCAAGAGTCAGACTGGAGGGACTTTTCGAGGATGTGGAAATGGAAAAGTAAAAATTTGTTTTTCAACGATAATTATTTGAACTTTCTGAAGCTTATTCATTTAAGAGAGTTAGTCTAACGACCGTATTCCTTCATGCGATGTCTTTCAAAATGCATCTTACATTTATATTTAAAAAAAAGGGACAGCCCAGTGGTATTAACGGCATGATAAGTGGAGTCCACAGAACTTTTTCTGCACCATTTCTTTGCTAGGACAAAAGGGGTAACGGTTGTTCTAGAGACAATGGATTAGTTAGGTTTGCATACGAGTGTGGTCGACTGCGACAGTCGCAGGCTTTTCTTGAAAAACTTTCATCTGAGTAGAAAATTCTTTGAAATTCACAAGGTCACAATGTGTAAGAAAACGATTTCTGATATTCTGGTTTTAAAAAATCATTGTAATTTATTCTCCTCTTATGAATACAAGACAACAAGTGAAAACGACTTTCGATCCATGTAAAAAATTATCATCAGTTGAAGAAAACTTGATTGTGCAGAAGGGAAAGGAATCATTTCGCTCAGGGGCGTACTATAACGGGCTTAATGTTCTGGATTTTAGGATCCGCACTCGCGAGTAGGCATGAGAAGAATAGAAGCAGTGCTATCGCCAACAGGGATCTCTTTGTGGAGCAAAAGACGCCGAAAATTGGACGTGGGTAGGAATAAGGGCGAAAATAATAGTGCCGAGGCGGAAGTACGTAGACACGGAATAACGGCGTTACTCCGCGACACCAAATTGGAATAATCTCCGACCGCGACGAACGTGGGGATACTGCGGGCAAGATACAAGCTAGAATTGCTTTGTGTGAAATTAAGGTTTGGGATTTTCCAATTTTCTCGGTGATATGGCCAGCGCAATCTCCGGACCTCAATCCTATCGAGCATTTGTGGGATCACATCAAGCGCAAGCTCAGAAACTTGCCTCCTTAGTAGGACTGGGCCGAGATTGCTGCTTTTATATGACTTTTTCGTAAACACCAATAATCGCCAAAATATTGACTCACCCCCCGGCGACTATGAAGACATGTATATTGGCCGCGAACTGATCGATCATGGTGAATTTTTGGAATTTTATGTAAATGAGGTTGCATAATAACATATTAAAATTTTATGTGATTCGAGTGAATATTGCCAGAGATATTCGACTTTGAATAGAAATTTACGGAACATTGACTCATTTTTGGAGGCCAGTGTATATCTTTTTTTTTTTCCTAAGTATTTCTTTTATTATAATTTCCTACCCGCCTACCTGCAAGATACTCTCTCTGAAGTCCTTCAAGAGTCGCACGGAAAGAGAATTTTGCAGATAAATAAGCTGGAGTGAGTCGTGAGTCCTCATAAATGCATGACAACGAAACTACGTTAGGCGTTCCTGGCACCGAATATGTGGAGGGCTGAGATAGCCACACCCTTTGCATACTGTGTGCGTAACAGGAAGCTAGTGAGAGGAATGACGAATGCGATAACATGTGGAGACATGGATTGAGTCCTCCGGCAGGCCACGATGTTCCTTCAAAGAGAATAAGAAGTGACCATATGGATTGAAGCGTGCCATCAAAACCGCGAGACAGTCTTCAACATTTTCTAATGAAAGTCGTAATACGGCGTGAAATTACCCCTTTCATTAGGCTTCTCGTGATACGGTTGAAACCTCTCGTGCTACGAGAGGGTAAAAAAAGGGAGGAACCGGTTCCAATGACCCAAGGGCCGGATAATTCATCTGTACATATGGTTGAAAAAGATCGGTCTTGGAGGCATCTAATATACTGACGCTATCTCACCTTTCTCCTTTCTATGGGCCTACATATATCTATCTTTCTCGATTGAGTCCTAAGGGAATAGCAAGAGATGGATGTGAGTAGGGCGCGGTGAGGACGAACTTGCCTTGGATGAAGCAAAAAACAAAAGACAACGAAAGTTACGTGCGTCTACCACACCTAACGATGCGAGAAGGGTCTCCGCGGGGGCGCCGATCACCGAGCGGCCGATCGTTCAATGGAGTGTCAATACATCTCCGATCCTCCTCCCACGACAGTCGCTTCTGGGTCATCTCGAGTAGGGCTCGAACCCGTGCTTCCAAGGACTAATGCGACTTCCTTCACTTCGGCCTCGCCAAAAGTCAACAACTGGATATTTCCGTCCTAGTCTCCCTCTCCATCTGGATCTCGTGTCGATTACAACGTCACAAATGATAAATGAGGGGGTCAGCGTCTGAGGGGAACCGAAGATCCGTTTCCAAATCACGGTCACCCAGAGACGAATGAACAGACAAGGAGAGATGCCATCCTTTTCCCCAAGACAAACCTCATTCATCTTCCTCTCTTTCATACAAACAGAACCATGAAGAATGAGGGATGGCAGAACCGACAATGCAATGATGAATCTCTGTCTGCATGCAATCTGAGGGTAATCTATACAAGATAAAACTAAGGAAGACAGGTTTGGCTGAGGACTAGCAAACGCTAAGTATGTGTAACAGCAGTACATAACAGTCCCGCCTGGTCTGTCAAACCTTGATGAAATATGCATCAAGGTGTCACCAATCTCAATTTGGAGTTGTTCACTAAGCCAGCCAAAACTTGGCAGGCTTTCCTTCATGCATATTGGTAAGAATGAAACTACAGGCTTTATTGAAAAAGTTCTTTTTTATGACTGAGCATTTAGCCAATGAATCAAAGTCCCAGTTACATGCTTAGTCCTTCAATTTTGAAAGAAAATAAGCATACCTTGAATGCTGACTAATAATATATATTAATAATATGGAGGAAAGGGGAGAAATCAGAAAATAAAAATGTCAATGCCAAAGCAAAAGAAATCCTCCATGGGTGACAAATAGTTCAGGCATTTCTTTGTTGGATGCAGAACATACAGATGCAGCACCAAGCTTAGAAGGAGGAGCACTTTCTCACATCATAGGTTTTCCCATCATGAAGAGGCATTTTCATTCAGTTTTGATTCAATTTTCATGTCCATACCACAAGCAGAGCTTAAAATATCCGCTGAAACAGCAGCATCATTCACTAATTTCACTTCACTACTTGAATTCATAGTAGCAACTGCATCATGACAAGAAGCAGATGAAGATGCATTGTCTGTGCTGGGACTTCTTGGAGTATTCTCAGGCACTTCCATGTCTGTCTGAATTTCCTTGTCATCTTTGGTTGGGCTCACAATAGGATGACTCACTGAACCATTCTTGCATGAGATCTGGAGCAATTCTCTCAAGCCCTGCAAAACCAGCATGATTCCTGTCCATCAAAAGTGTATCACAAATCTTACAGCAAGCAATTTTTTCAGGAGTTAAAGGATCCCAGGAAAACAGTACAATAGAAATGTGTGATGAAACACAAAGCAGACCTAGAAGAGATAGCACATCAGATCTTTGCCTGTTGCATATGGTTTTTCCTAATAACCCCAGAGGCCCTAATCAGTGCTCACCTTATTCTCTGTAACAAGCCTGGTGAGAAGTTCTTGCTCTCTGGCAGCTGCTTCCTCATCCATCATAATTGCTTTATGCATCACTGATGCCATTTCACAGATTTTCTCATTTTTCTCCATCAACATCTGAAAAATTTAATGCAAGAAATCAGTAAAAATGAAGTTCATCACTGAACTATCAATAGGAAACAAAGGGGTAACAGTTGATCGTCTCATCTCACATTTGTAGAATCTTGGACGGGAATTCGAAGCTGCTTGGCATCAAGCTTGTTGGCTTGGATGAGCTTGATGATATGCTGTCGATACTTGGACATGATGAGGTCAAGTGCATTTCGATGTTCTTCCAGAGCTGCTCTTAACTCACGATTTTCTTGTTGCAATTCTCGGATATGCCGATTTTCCTGCTGAATCCCCTGAACAAGTACTGCTCGTGGACGTTGACGTGTTTCTTCCGACAGGTATTCCATTTCATCATCATACTGTGAATGATGCATATACAACAGATGTAGTGAGAAAGAATAGTGAGATGATATTACATGATATCCAAGATGGACAAGAACAATCTTTAAGAATAGTTGAAGCTGAATGAGTTTAACAGACCTCTTTCATGGCTTCTACAGACTTTAAGGTTGCCTGAGACTGTGATATCACAAGATCAGCTGTAGATTCACACTCCCTTAGGCGGCTGGAAAGTTTCCTTGCATCAGTGAGCAGCTGCTTCATGGTCAGAGACATTTCTACCCTCTCAAATTTTCTGAAATCTGTAGACTAATTGAAGAAGAGAGATGAGTCAAAACATGCTATTCTATTAGTCCTAGTCTCATGATAGACCTCGGTTATGCAGATAGGTGAGCCCTTAACTTTCTCTGAAGTAAGATTGGTCTGGAGCTGGTTTGTATGGATCCCTACTCACAGATAGGTTGATAGGCGTAGCTAATTGAAATTTAAACTTTTAATTCTCTTCCACAACTCCTACATAATGGCAAGCACATAAAATCGCATGAATTTAATATCCAGATGATTGGTCATATTATTCCATGAAGTCTGACTAAAACATATGGTAGTACTAATGGACCACTCTAAATACTACTGGGAAATAATTATTCCCATTGAAGACACATCCAAAAATATTCCAGAGATGGCAAGGAAGGTTAATGTTTTGAAAACATTAATCTGGACCTAAATGCTTCATTTTGGCATAAAACAGTCAATTACTATGATTAAAAGTATAATCGATAGGCCTACCTATTCAACAAGCAAGAAATCATGAATTTGAACTTTTTATAGCCACTGTTTCACTACACAGCTTGTGTACATACATAAGTTGCCATGTACATAGTACATAGCTATTAAAACTAACTCTGTTGCATCAGTGCATCTAGGAAGTTATTTCTGACCCTGAATGCTTTGGGGAATCCTTTCTTTCTTTCTTGCCATGATCATTGATTGGGGGGGAAAGGGTGCTGCTGAGTGAGATCGATGGCCAGGACAATCTTCATGGCTGATAAAGTCATGAATGACTCTAACTATCAATAGTGACATTAACACCAAAGCATCATGACAGTCCAAATTAGTATCACATCCTGTTCTGACAGAAATAGCCCCTCGAAACATCTACATCCAATATTTTTATAAGGAATAGCAACATTTCTACATATTGGGCCATATTATTTATCTGCTTTGATTGAGTTATCACATACAACTTCCCTTCTAAGGAAATGGAGCACATCTACACCCTTCATCACTCTGTACCTATGCAAGGAGTACTTTCATATACCATAAAACCATTTTTTAACAAAAAATTTGTTAATGGGTTTAATGCCCTTTCTAAAAAAGAGTGTCATTGTTTGCATCACCCTTTGCAACTGAAACGTATATTTACAAACTGACATTGGCTTTTCCAGGTAAGCACAGGTAGAAATAACATACTTAGTCTAATATCAGGAAATTTTGTTTGGTGATGTAATAATGAAAGGTATGTGACTGCAGCATTATACAGTGTCCACAAATTATCTTTACGAGTTAAAAGTCCATATTCAAAAATGAATAATGATAGAAAGACAAAATGAAAACCAAATGATACTGAAACACCACAAGTTTTGTACTGCATGGATACCACTTTCACATTCATTCCACTGGTAGAGTGGGAGTAACATGAACAAAATGATAGAATTCATGGGAGCTTAGAAGCAAAATGCCTTTTGTGGTTTAAAGAAACATGTTCTGCTACTCAAGTGAGACCTAGGCATGCTCAAGAACTTCCTAGCACCACAAATAGATGAGAACATGAGGGACAATATTGCTTTCCAACAAGACAGCTTCCCTGCATATATTCATAGTGCAGTTAGAAGTTTCTTGTATCAAAAATTCCCAAAACATTAGATCAGCTGTGGAGGTCCATTCACTGGAATGGACATCACACTATTTCACATCTCACACCGATCTCACACCTCTGCATTCCCATTTGTGAGGAGGTTGATAAACATTGTGACATAATGTTTATCAACCTCCCCTGCCTACCAACATCACAGACCTCAAGGATCAGATCATAGCAGCATTGTCCAATATGGAAACAGATATGCCTGTTGAATTTGGCAAAAAATTGAATATCACTGGGATGTGAGTTGCATTACATGGGGAAGCATGTGAAAACAATGTTGTCAAACCAGGCATGCATGAGCTATGGCTGGCATCAGAATCTACAAGCTATCTGAAATGATTTTCTTTCCCTTTCGTAGGAATATTCCTATTTTCCAATTCATACTTGGGCATGTTCGCTCATTTTAGTCTTTTTTTTCTTAAAGAAAAGACCCTAATGTCTCTAACTACTTTGGTGAGAGAGACTTAGTTGTCTACAAAGTGACCCACTTATGGGATACAGGTAACTGGAACATTTGGACTATGTCCATCATTAGTGAATCCCTGAAAAATTCACAATGATGCTTTTAAGGACACTTACATTCATATATGGAGAAAAAAAAAGTGCGAACGAACAGAACGCGTTTTATGACTTAAGCTGAAATTTGCTATTGGAGATAGGCCTACGTTAAGGCTTAAGCCTTCCCAAATCGAAAAATTATGATCACGCCTAAGAGTGAACTCGTAGATCAGGACTATCAATCACATGAGTCGAGATTGCGAAACTGAATTCGAAATTTGATTGACCTACTAGTATCCTATCACTGCCTATATTTAGTCCCAATTGGCGTGAATGAAACCATGACTAGAGGCTGGTAAAAGGCACATAAAAGCATTGGTAAAGCACGCTAAATGCTCATTTGATGAAAAAGGAAGATTCATAGCTTTGGAACCGCAACGATCCCCAACAAAGGTGTTCCATGATCAGCTGATCGAGGGAGGCACCATGTTGAATGTATCGTTGCATGGCGCCCCTCAATCCCACATAACCGAAGAGTTTCCGTCCCGGCATATCCGGGAGTTTATTTATTTACATAAAATATCTCACTAGAACTCTCTAAATCGAGAGATATGTGTAACTAAGAAACCACATGGTTTAAGACAGCTATGGAAGCGAAGATGATAAACAAGCCACTAGATCGCAATGGAGACTTAATTATGGACTAAGCAACCATTTTAACGTCCAAGGAATTATTTTGTGAGCTTCAAGATAGGCCTACGATGTTATGAATATCAGTAATTCCACGATTCCACCCATACCTAGGCTTTTCATTCAAGCTACTGTGGAACTAATCAGCAACCGTTACGTCAGCCCTTTGCGTACCTTCATTTGTGTAACGAGGTATAACCAAATCTGGTTCATGCTGTCTACTCGGCAATGAAAAACTCCTGCAGCTTCATTGTTACTTGAGGATGCAACTTGAACATGTTCTCTCCCATTCTGTTGTAACCTTCAAGTTGGAAGAACCTACTTCCTCATTTGCAGCAAATTCTTTAATCCTCAATTTGGCAGCAACAATTGACTTGTCAAAAAAGAAAAAGATAAATATGTTGGGAAAAAGAATATAGGTCAATATAGGAATTTAGCGCCTGACTGTAGGAAGGGATAACTGGGCCTTTGAAGCATACAGAATGATACATGAGTGAGCTCTAGGATCTGGTAAAAAAAAATGAAATGAGTGTGAGAATATCAAAAGGGGGAGTGGGATGTAAGAGTGAATGATTGAATCTGTGAATGGACAAAAAACTTTAAAATATGGTGTAATTGCACATAATTAATGTGTTGATATTTTTAGAAATGGATGCAAATACAAAACTGAAAGACTGCCATATAAGAAGGTTATGGAAGATTGACTTTGGAAGTTTGGGACTTGACATGGGATTGGATGGGAGTATATTAGGGCTGTCAATATGATTACTTTAATTGACTGATTAATTGATTAAAGTAATGATCATGATTTAAAAAAAATTGAAATTAATCAAATTTTAGTTGACCTCCTAATCTCTCCCTGAATGCCTTTTTCCTCTTATAATTTAGGAATATAATACTACTGTAATTGATTAATCAAATTAATCCAATTGACAGCCCTAGAATATATATATTATTTTTAGATTCCAAGGACTTAATTAAAAGAAGATTCTAAGTACACTGTTTTAGCATTGAATCCATACTCCCTACATATGGAAGTGCTTCCATCAAGTGTAGGTAGTGACATCTTCCACACGGGTGATTTTTTTGATCATTGATGAAGCTGATCCTTTGGAAGTAGTGCTTTATTCTCCACTACTCAGGGGCTGGGGGGGGGGGGATTAAAAAACGGTACTGTAGAACTTACCTAAGCTCTACAGTGAATTTAAGTTAACCTCAGACTTTGATACAGAATTTTCCATTGTAAACATTGTAAACATCGTAAACACAAATATGGACAGTCATTCTCAAGAGGTGCTTCTGAAATTAAAGTCACCCTAAGCTCATAGGTCTTATGAGGAATGGGTCTTATGTTAAGAATGTTTCACTGTATAAGAATTTCAATAGTATAGGTTAGTGTGGAGCTCCTTTATATTCCTTGGTACCCAAATGAGGTTCTAGAATCCAATGAAAAACTAAAATACAAGAAAAGGAAAAATCATCCTACTCAGGTAAAATCTTAGGAGGATGAAAGTTGTTGTACATGTGGTTTTTACAGCTTGGTTTGGCTGAAGGAAAATGACATTCATCTGTATATTTTGCAGTTAAGTTTTAGGAAGCATATTCATATGTTATACTATATGTTCTAAAGGTAGCCTGTGATACTGCTGCCGAGATGGCTGATGAGAAGACAGGAGAGTCACAGCCTCTTCTCAATCAGGAGGATGGCCATCCTGTTCAAGAAGTTCCAATTCTGCCTCTCTTTGATGAAGGCAGAATGCAGACTGCTGCTTCCCTAAATAGAAATACACCGCCTCCTGCTGAAGAGCCAAATACTGATGAGCCAGAGAATCCCTTCAGATTGAAGAATTCTGAGACTAATGAATATCAACCACTTGTCACCCGTGAACATCCTCATGCTACTTCGTATGTCTTGATATTCTTGTCAATGTGATTTGTTTGTCTTGGGGTTTTCCCTTGCCTTACCTTCTTCATTAATGCATTATCAAAATCTGGAAGGCACAAAGCTGAAAGATAATTTTTTGTTCAATCTCTTGGTGTCTATTATTTCTGTTGCATGAGAAACATTTCCCTTCTAAGCATCATAGCCAACACTAAATACCATGAAAGTCAAAAGCAAATGAAGGCTTATTCTTATTAAGCTAAAATATTTAAAAAATTACTCACTGAATCATGTTCTGCAGTGCATCACATGGCTAATCATGCCTCATTCCTCAGTTGCTTAGCTTCAACCAATATCACATTTCTTAACTGATAGGTGGTGGATACAATAGGTTTGTCCTGGTGTCATAATGTTAATCATGTTGTCCTAACTTTTGAATTACATTTTTTATGAAAACTATTCTTCAAAAACAATAATTATACAATATGATTATAGATTTACAATTCAAACATAAACAAAAAGTAATAATTATAGCCACAGTCTTCAAAGTAGTTCTCATGTAAAATCAATGAGGATCAGAATGTTCAACTACCCCTTGATATGTTCTATCCAGAAATGTGGAGACAATGATTCACCTTCTGAAGGGCAACATTGGCACTGGAATACAAGCCATGCCTGATGCTCTGAAGAATTCAGGATTAGTGGTGGGATCATTTGGCATCATCCTTGTTGGCATCATATGTATACATTGTATGCATATCTTGGTCAATTGCTGTCATGTGTTATGCAATCGGACATTGAAAACCACCATGAGCTATGCTGATGTGACTGAATACTCCTTCAAAATGGGACCTGAGAAGATGCAGAGATATTCTCAGCTTGCTAGGTGAGAACCGTACAAAGAGAATTTCAAAAGGTTGTTGACATTATTCTGCTCAAATCATGTTTACTTCAACTTCTGTTTATTTTCCAGGAGGACTGTTAATGCCTTCTTGCTCATCACACAACTGGGATTCTGTTGTGTTTATTTTGTGTATGTTGCTGCAAATATCCAAGTGGTAAGTTCACTCAATGTAATAAATGTCAATTTACATGAAATCAAGTAGTTCAAAAAGTCTCTATCCTTAGGGAAATACATACATTTCTCAGTAGTCTTTTTTTGCAGGTGCAGATCTAAGTCATGGCTTTAATGAAAGATAAAAGAATTCAATTTTTACTGCTGTGTGGTTGTGGGGGTTGGACCCAATGGCAGATTGCAGATCACTTCAATGCAACTCATCCTGATAGAAACATTACCCACTATACAGTTGGCAATCTGTTAAAAAATTTTAAAGGAACCAGTAGTGTGTTAGACAAAGCACAATCTGGTTGCCCATGTATCCCTGAGGAAACTTAAGTTGCTGTGATGGTGAAGGTGCATGGAAGCCCCAAAAAGTCAGTGCAGTGAACATTACAAGAGCTTTGTGTTTCAAAGAACACTCCAGTGGACTTTTTCTTATGAGGGTTCCTTGAGGCAGAGGTGTACCAAGTGAAAACATAAATCTTGACCACCTCTGTGAACAGATCACATGCATTTGTGGATCCATTAATGGCAATGAGAGCTTGTTCAAAAGGGTTTACAGGAGTATGAAATACCAACTACAAATGTGCTCTGAATTGAATGGGGAACATTTAGAACAATTATGATTTGGTTCCACAAATAGATGTATTTCCCTTTGGGTAGAGACTTTTCAGACACCCTGTATAGAAAAGATATCCCATAGAGTACATGAAAATTCATAATATTATATATATATATCTATCCTGAGTGGGTTGAATTTTCTCTCTCACAGTTGATGAAGGCACACTTCCAGTTGGAGTGGAAGATTCAAGTATATATGGCCATATTATTGGTACCCTTCATATTTTTATCATTTGTGAGGAGCTTGAAGTTCCTGTCACCCTTTTCCATGATTGCCAATTTGCTGATGGCAGTTGGGATCGGGATAATCTTTTCATTCCTCCTTCAAGATCTCCCACCTGTGTCTTCTCGTCCCTTTTTTGCTTCCTTCCGACAACTTCCACTCTTCTTTGGCACAGCAATTTATGCCTTTGAGGGGATTGGAGTGGTTTGTTGCCCTTGATTTTTCTCATTAAATGTATTGGCTTCATAAGCCATAATTCTTCTACAGGATCATCAATAATGTGATTAACAGCTTCTTCTTGAAAATTTTGTAGATTTTACCCTTGGAGAATCAGATGAAATCCCCTGAAGACTTTGGGGGCTTCACTGGAGTGTTGAATACAGGGATGGTGATAGTAATGTGCCTGTACACTGGAGTTGGATTCTATGGTTATCTTCGATATGGTGATGACGTTCTAGGGAGCATCACTCTTAATCTCCCAAATGAGAACAGGTGGGAATAGGACAGTTGAAATACCAATTTTCCAATGAAGGAAATGCTAGAAAATTATTTTCATCCCTATTCAGACTGGCAGCTTCTGTTCAAGTAATGATGATCATAGCAGTCTTCCTTTCATATGCTCTTCAAATGTATGTTCCTGTGGAGATTATTTGGCCCTGGATTAAGGAAAGAGTTCCAGCTGAAAAGGAAAGGCTTTACAATTATCTCTTCCGCATTGGTCTTGTGATCCTCACTTGTGAGTTTTCACCTCTCTTATAAATTGAATATTCTATTCAGTCTTCCCATTGAAATGCTATTTTCGTTTTCTTCTAGTCTTCTTGGGTGCCCTGGTGCCAAATATTGGGCTTTTCATCTCCTTGGTGGGTGCTGTGAGCAGTTCATTTCTTGCGTTAATATTCCCTCCGGTGATCCAGATATTGACATTGTGGTCTCTTGGGCTAGGCCCATACAAGTGGATTCTCTGGAAAAACAGTTTCATAATTGTGTTTGGGTTAGTTGGCTTTGCCACTGGGACATACACTTCTTTGGAGGCCATTGTTACATTTTACACCTCCATTCCTGCCAAGTGATATTCCCCCTTCATGATCTCATCCCCTTTGTTTATTTGTATCTGTGATGTACCTTCTCAAAAGTCAACTATTGTGTTACCAATTGAGTCACATATTCAGTTACAAGAACTTAACTATTACTCAATCAAAATTGAGTTAATGAAGTATTCATTCATAGCAATCATGGTTTCAGTCAATCCAGTGTTTCACAGTGGCATTTTGACTTTCATAAATGTGCTCATGCTTTTTCTGTTGGGACATCCCCTTGGATGAACCTGCAGACCTTAGTTAAATGCCCCTGATGACTCTGCATGCACAATGTAAAAGGTTGTACAAGTTTACTTGCAAATTGCTGTACTATGCTTCTACTCTAGGAGCCCCTTTTCAGACGTTGATAAACAATGTAGATCTCTTCATTGGGGGCTCATACTTATTTGCTTTCCTTGTAAGAAAGTTGACAGAATTGCATTCCTGCATACATTTTGTTTTTAAGTTTCAATATCTCAACTTTCATAAATATATTGTGTCAATGATGAAATGGTTAAAGTTGACACTTCAGTTATGGGCTGGCCTCAGAATGTGTGACTAGTGATTCAGATTCTGAATATGAATGATGTTACATGCACACTTAAAATGAAGATAAAATAAATTAATCCCATGGAAATAATTTTATTTTGTGGATTTTTGTCATTAAAGTACCTCAATGAACTATCCAAACAGTGAAGTCCTTTCATTCAGGCTTCCTTTTTTCAAATATCTATTCACATCTAAATGTAAACCATCCTTAGTGGTATCATGAAATGTAGTCACTTCATCAGTTATAACCATACTGGTGCTTGAGGAGATATGATCATTTTGGATATTTGAGTATTACTACTTGATTTACCAGTTACCTGAATTGCCAACATTTTAGGCCTGAACCTGCTGACATGGGAAAGTATTGCATTTTATGTGTGCATGATGAGTTGCGTGCTTCCATTCCCTTCAAATAAATGTTGGTATTTAGAGAAGGCAACCTATTTATTACTTTAGTGGATGTTATCATCATCAATTCAGTTACATTTGGGAATATAAGACTAATACTGGAAATTTTTAGGAATTCACAACCTTGTAATCTTTGGCTGTTTTTCCTTCATTCTGCCATGGATCCTCAACAAAATTGAATAGAAGATATATTGTGCCTAAGAGAAATACAAAATATTGTTTTGCAAATATGATCTTCTCATCAGAAATTACCTCCCTATCTTGACAGCAGCATATTGTGAAAAAGGAGAACATGGGTAGCCAGAGTCTTGAGACCTCTTGTGGCTTCATTCCACACATGAATAGACCCGGATGACTATACTGATAATTTTTATGCTCTTTTTTTTTACTTGAGGTTGCTAATTTCTCCCAATTTCCTTCAAAGTCAACCATCATCCCTTCCCTTCTGGACATTGATACTTGTGCTCTCATAGAGCTTCAGCTCTTACCCCCTCCTCTCCTTAAACTCTCTTCAAAGAATATTTTATCATAGTATACAATATAAAGTTGTTAAGGATTATCTTAGCATGTTAAGATTTTGTCGGGAAGCCAGGAGATGCAGAAGCCTGCACACCTGGTGTGGCAGTGTGTCTGACCTCCTCACCCAAAAGCCCATAGGGGAGAATTTCCAAGTCAAGGTCTGTTCTTGATCCTCACTGTTGAATCTAGTTGCATTCTCATGATTCAATACTATTATATGGTGATAATTCACAGGGATGGGTGAAGTCAGTGAGAAAGCAAAAGGGATGCACATTCTTTGATTTGGTCGATGGCTCCTGTCCCTCTCATCTCCAGGTCATCATTACAGGAACTCATCCAACTGAGCTCAAACCAGGCTGTAGCCTTACTGTTTCAGGCAGCCTAGAGAAAAGCAGTCATCCGAAGCAGGAAGTTGATTTGCATGCTAAGGAATGCAGGATCTTTGCCAGTTGTCCTCTCAGTGATGGTCAGTATCCATTTCAACCTCAGAAACAAACTTCTCTTGAAGTTGCTCGGGAACATCTTCACCTGAGACCAAGAACCAGTCTATTTGCTTCGATTCTTCGAATGCGTCACATGGTGACAAATGCATTCCATCAGTGGCTTCATGATCATTCGTTCATTGGGATCCATGCACCTGTCATCACATCTAATGACTGTGAGGGAGCTGGCGAAACTTTCCTTGTTAGGGTGAGAAATGGGCAATGCTGGAGAACTCATTGCTCCCTATGAGCCTATACAGTCTCATCATAGTCTCTACCTCTTTTTCCAGCCTTCATCTGATTTTCTTGTTCAAGAAATGGGTAATGAAGGAAGTGAACAAGATATGGCCTATTTTGGGCACAAATCTTACCTCACAGTTTCCTCTCAACTTCATCTGGAAGCAGCTGCCTGGTGAGGACTATTTCAGATTATGATAGAGAACTTCAGTTCTAGTACAACATACCCTAGCTACACTAGGCTAATGTTGTATGGATTGTATGTTGAGTGCATGGACACCACTTCATATATAATTCCAATGTTGTGAATTGTTGGACTGGGGAGAATGGTAAGAAAAGCAAGGATTCTTTTCACATTGAATCTATGAGAAACCAAAACCATTCGACCAAAGACGTGTAGTGTTAATGATCTGCATTTAATTTACCATCATCTATCTGGGGATTGAGGTTAAGTTCAATGCCACTTATCAAAAGGAGGTAAGTATTGCACTTTCTCACTCTTGTGTCATTTTCTGAGTTTGCTTCTTTGCACTTTCCTTTTTGCTTTATGAAATTATGAGGCCAAAAGATCATGTGAAGCACTTGCTCAAGCCTCTCGTTTCTCGGATGCACATTGTACCAGTAGGCCACAGGAACCAGCCACTTTGACTGCCTATTTCTTAGACTCTAATACTTAAAAAAGCCAGATAACAACAGATGCTCCACAATATACAACTCTGGATGTTCATTTGAAAAATATTAATTTGAAAATGAGTATAAAATTGCCTTCTCTGTTACTCCAAGTAATGAAGGTGAATTACAGTGATTCATTTACTTTCTCTTTCAAGTGGACTTTCAAGAGTCTACTCACTGGGTCCTGCATTTCGAGCTGAGAATAGCCAGTCTACTCGACATTTATCAGAATTTTGGATGCTGGAACTGGAGCTTGGTTTCCTTGACGAATTAAATTCTCTTCTTGATCTATGTGAGAACCTTCTTAAGGATGTCACTAAGAGCATACTTGAGTCAGGTGGTGATGATCTCAATATCCTTTGGACTGAGAATCTGGAAACTGAGGTGAATCAGATACTATTTACAGAAAAAATTCCAAGAAAAGAGTTCTGGTGGTAAGCAAAATGTTCATGATTTGATAGGGTCATGTGAAGGCTCTTTTGGAGAGAAGTTTTCAGAGGATGACATTCAAAGAAGCAGTTGAAATATTGAAGAATAAAGGGAGGGGATTGGAAGTTATGCAGCCAGGGACACTGAGACGAGTTCAGGAAATGGAGTTGGTCAGTCATTGTGGGAATCAACCTGTTTTCATCACCAATTGGCCTGCTGACAATAAACCCTTCTACATGAAATGGAATCATGAGAAAGAGGTGAGGAATCCATCCATTTAAAACATACAATGCATAATTTATTTTGGCATTTAAAATAAGACTTGCCTAATGATAAAACTCTTTGTTTATAGGCAGAGTGCTTTGATCTCCTGACTCCAATTGTTGGAGAGTTAGTAGGAGGAAGTTTGAGAGAAGATGATCCTCAGGCCTTGGAACTAAGGTTGTCTCAGACAGAAAAAGAGAGACTCAAATGGTATGTGGACTTGAGAAGGTTTGGGGGTTTGCCCATGGCTGGATTTGGACTTGGATTGGAACGCTATCTCATGTTTCTCCTTGGAGTCAAAAACATCAAAGATACCATCCCTTTTCCACGATGGCCCCATCACTGTGATCTCTAACAATACAATTTACAGTTGTTTTGCAAAGGAAAAGTGGTATGATTCCTAGTCATGGTACTCAGATAACCAGACCACATTTGTCAAACTGCTTGACACGACTCCTTGAGTTGGTGGATGAAGCTCATCATATTGAATGTCTTAACCCTTTGACCACTGTTTTGTTTTTTTTGGCCTGGCACCAGGGATGAAAGTTTGAAAATGAGTATATTCAGGCTTGGGAGTCAGGGGGTTAATAATTAACTGAGATGACATTTCATGGAAAGTCATATTATGGAGTTGATGCCACTGCATGCTGAATGTCATCTCCAGGTAAACATTTTTAAACCCCATTACTCTTTCCCGTCTTTCCCATCTTTCTATAACCCCATAACCTGAATAGATGTTCAACTCTTTGTTTCATCTCTTCATTCCCAAAGAATCCCTTCAAAATACTTTGCCTAATTACTATTATTTTTTCATGAAAATACACAAAGTATAAGACTTTTCAAGTTCACAGTGCAGTCAACACAATGTAAAAAATTTTTGTATCAGGATCCATTGGACTTAGAATGGTAGTTACAAGGTTATGCTGATTTTCCTGTTAGTAATCTTAACCTTATCCATTCCAAGATGGTGTCAACCAGTATGTCTCTGCTTCTGCCTCTTCCAGGTACCTAGATGTTACAGTCCCCAAAGATTGTAATTCTACCCAGTGCATCCATGAGCATTCCTGTGCCTATAGAGTCATATGTTTAAATTCTCATGGATGGCTAACATAATAAAATGCTAATACAGCAAGAATGAATGTAACAGTTGCATCACACCCAAACACAAATGTGTCTTGTATTTTCCTCCCAATGTGAAGTAGGCACCATTTTTTGCTTTACAAGAAATATTTAAAAAAAGTCAAACAAGTTTATACTATGCATTAATCTGTTGCACATGAAGTAGATTCCTTTGCTCTACAGATATTCTTGCTAGACTGTTGGGAAAGCTCACGGTGACAAACTAAATAAATTTCATAAGGGAAAGTTGATTGTTTTCACTGAGAACTGTTTCTCCACATGGAACTTACTGATATGCAATTTCCCATCATTTCAGCATGGAATTCCAAGCAATGAAAGGGAACAGAAAAGGCCATGTGTTTTCAAGAATCAAGTGCAAGCACTTGGACATTTTAAGAAAAATAAATCCTGTAATGCATCACTTTTGTCACAAGTCTGCAAATATATTGCTGATGATATTGAAAATGATGTATTGTCTCACTTTTCATCAGTTTCTCCTTGAAGTAGATATCAATAAGTATGGTACTTTCAGAATTAGAGGTTGACCTCCTTATTCAAGTTTGCTTGACAGCTGGGCTCTCATTGCTTATCCTCTGGGACTTCAATCTTTCATAATTTTTTCATGTGAACAAGTGCACAGGGACCAAGATGAATGGAGCATAACATTCCATTACATAAGCAGAACTGTTACTTGATATGGTGAAGGCAGAAGGGCTTACATTGGTCTGGTGTTGTAATATAAAATGGAGCACATCTTGCTCTGGAAAAAGAAAATAATCTCTTGGAGAGCAGTGCATGATCACTGGTTTTTCATAGTTGTGCTTGCTTCAATTTTTCTTGCTCATCGCTATCCTGCTGTTGGTATTACCAAAGGTGAGGGAAATGGTATGATATTTAAGAGACTTCTGGAAATGTAGTCACAGCATTTGAAAACTGACCCTTGAATTCATGCCTTCAGGACCATTGAAGCCAGAATGGACAGGGAGTGCAGCCACGATGGTTATCTTCCTCATGAGTGGTTTATCTGTGAACGGAAAGGAGGTGAAACGAGCTGTGATGAATGTTCATGTTCATGTTTTCATTCAAGGATTCACCTTCTTCATCTTCCCCCTCCTCCTCTTCATTGCAAGTCATTTCATCCAGCTTCTTGATGCCCCTGAATGGTCTTCCATTGGGTAAGTCCAGTCTATCCTTGCTCCATCCTTCAATCCTATGAAAGTCAAAATATTTCAGATATTGACTGGTATTTACTTTTGCTTCAGTGTGAAAATCCTAGGTTGTATGCCTCCTCCTGTGTCTTCAGCCATCATTCTCACACGCAGTGCCAATGGGAATGAACCAGCTGCCATGTTCAACTGTGTCCTAGGCAGTTTCCTGGGCATCTTCCTCACACCCCTTCTACTCTTACACCTAGTGAGCATTCTGCTTTTAATAATGTAATAAAGTGGGAAAGGCTTTCATTAGCCAAGTTTTTTTATGTAGGTTGGAGTGGAGAGTGATGTAACATTCATGAGCACAGTGATGAAGCTGGGTCTGACTGTTTTAGTTCCATTCTTGGTGGGCCAGTGGTTGAGAGATGTAGCTCCAAGGCATCTAGTTGATGTCATTCCTTGTTCTCACATTGGAAAGGTCATGCTTGCATTCATCATCTTCACCACATTCTGTGATATGTTCGATCAAGAAGACTTATTTCAAGAAGAACTTGGCATTCTTGAAGTCATTGTGTCTGGTATTGTGCTGGGAAACTTCCATCATAATTTTCTTGGACCTCCCATGACATGACTCTTTTTTTTTTAATTCCTTTTAGTTGCAGTTTTCCATGGGTGTCTACTGTTGGGACTTTTCTTTGTTTCAACCAAACTGATAAGATTCAGGCCCATCGATACTATTGCAGTTGTCTTCACTTCCTCTCATAAATCTCTGACCCTGGGTATGATACAATTACTCTGTGATGTCAAAAAGAGCCTCATTGAATCAAGCAGGAATACCACTTGTTCTCTCTCTCTCTCTCCCCCTAGGCATTCCAATCTTGCGAGCTGTCTTTGCAAACCATCAACACTTGACAGGATTGTGCCTTCCTTTGTTAATCTATCATCCTGTCCAAATCCTTCTTGGTGGCCTTGCTGTTCCTCAAATTAAGCAGTGGATTCAGAATAGCGAAGTGTCAAGGTGAGTGAAACCTACATCAATTTAATGAAATCTGAATAAGCCTGATTGAGTTATTGTGGATCTCCATCTCCTTTCCAGGCATCCAACAAAATTCCATGTCTAACCTCATGATGTACCTCTGGGGATTCTGATGAAAGAGTTGGACATAACCTTTGTCATCTCTTTTTGCTCTTAAAGAGGAGTTAGCGCAAATCTCATCCTATTTCCATGAAAGGAACAAGTTTTTCTCATTTGTTATTGGATTTATCATTTTTGTGCTGAATTGGAGTAATGAAATGTTCAGAAATATTCTAATATTTCTGAACTGTCTACTGAAGTGGCTTCTGAAGTTGAAACATTTTCAAAGGGATGTTTTTAAATAGTATTCATACTTTGAAATTTTTTATTACTTTTGTTAAATGGAGATATGTATTTATTTGTTGTTTTGTGACTGTGTTGTTTGTGATTTAATGATGAAGTTCATTTCAGGAATAAATACTATTTATCCATCTATCCAAAACTGCTTCCTCGATATGATCTGAGTGTGGGTGTATAGACTTAAAAAGGCTTAAGTTTGACCAAAAAATTTAATATTTCAATGATAGTGTGTTAAATCAAGAAACTCTAAACCTGATATTTGCATGAGAGGAATCTTAACAAGCACACTATTTATTTCTTTGGGCTGCACTTGAAGTCTGCTCTTAGTGCCATGAGTCATTATTTTGGCCACAAAATTTTCTTACTGCTGGTCCACAAGTTCAAGGGCTGACAGAGGGCAGTGTTGGGCATATTTTGTAAAATGCTACATTTCAGTGAAAACGCATATGGCACTTTTTGCACATCCTAGTCAGAAAGCATGGCACTAAGAGAGTTAATCAGCTCCAAAAACATTACAGTCAAGAGGTTACAAGAATTCCTGTGGAAAATATCACAGTATTCCTCAAAACATGCCTGTAACACCAACTACAAACATGCATTTGTTTCACTTCCACTGATGCCAAAAATCAAAGGATCATGCATATGAAAGGGAAAAGTCATTATATACTGAACAGAAAGAACAGAATATGCATTCTAGGTGGTAAATTGTTTCTTCAGTATTCCAAGAGATGTCTCATCCAGTTGGATAGGGGAGACTAGGATATAGTGGGACAATTTTTCTAAATTAAAAAAAAAGTAACTAGCACATAATATGTTGGGCATCTAGTCAGAAGACAGTTTTGACTATGAAAAATATCAAGGCTCTCTCCATTCAAAGAAACAGTTTTCTGCTGAATGGGGAAATTCTGAAGGCAGTCAGTGTTCCACCATACCCCTCCCCCTGGGCACAGTGGGACTGGCAATGGAGTATTGTGGGACATACCCTGCTTTCAATAAATAAATGCCAGAAAATGTTTTTCAATTCTTGCATTTCATTTCATTTTTTTGTTTATTGACTTATTTTTCTTGATTTTAAAGAAAGCTTCTCCAATTCTTGTTTTTCTGGGGTGTCTGTTGCTGTTGTGTCTTAATCTGCTGATGAGTTTTATTTTTCCCCTACATTGCAGTTTAGTTTGCAAAACCTGAAAAGGACCAATTATCAATAAACATAACAGAGTGTGGTATGGTGGGACAGTCAAGGTTATGTCTAGAGATAGACCGATATTGGATTTGACCAATTCCAATATAGGCCAATATCTATAGCTGATGGAAGAAAATCATATTGAAGATTCAACAGGACAGCTTGATTTTTTTTTCAATTCTCCTTGATAAACTCACAATGAAGTTAGGCTGCAAAGCATAAGCCAAACCTAGGCCTTAGAGTGAAGGTCTGCCTCTATGTGCCAGACCAGGAACACAAGTAGGGTGAAAGACCTGCAATTCCTCACCTCTTGGATGATGCCATATTGGCTATTTCCCACATCTCAGGGTTTCCATAAGGGCATGAAAAAGTCCTAGTCCTAGTCCTAGTCATATTTTCTTTCATTGTATAGATCAAACAGAACTCTACTAATATTGGCAAAAATCAGGTTTGAAAGAGCTGATGCAAATATGCACTGATATGCCCATATCACCCAATTTATATAGGCAACTGATATATCAGTCAATCTCTAGTTATGTCCCAGTCTACTCCATGACCAACTGTCCCACTGTACCCTGAGCTACCATTTTTTAACTCCATATTTTATGGCCAAGAATCAATCAAGCAATCTGGCAAAATACCAAGGAATCAGGGATAGAACCCAAGTGCTGCCTATGAAATGAATTAATGTGAATTATGCAAAGCAGTTTTGGTCTGGGTCAGTTATTCTATCATGCAATATATTAGGTCAAGAGAAAAAATGTGAATAACACTGATTATTTTGATCTTAGCTGCACGATCACAACTAAATCTCATACAAAGTAGATTTACATATCCATCCAGTTTTCGGTAGGAAAAAGTTCAGTATCCCATTGTACCCCAGTCTCACCTATGGAGGTTTTCAACACAATGTGGTCAGAGGATACCCAATATCTTTGCAAGGGTGCACCTGTCTTTTCTTTCTGTCAATAAGAAATAATCCAAACTGGTTCTTACTACTTTTCGAACTGAGTTGTGGCCAATTAATTTCTTGTATTTTCTCCTTGTGGCAGATTATGCCAGTTCATCCTACACTGTAACAATTTCATTAAAGAAAATTCATGTTTCTAGATGGGCAGAATAGAGAAATAGAATAGAGGGCAGAATACTGAAAAAGTAATGAGAATACAATGAGTTCAATACTTGATATCCCAGAAGGAGCATTGCAAAGGTGAGGCAAGTTCAATGATACCACACTTTTAAAAGGAGGTCCAGTAGTTCTGTCCTAGGAGTCTGAACATTTTTCTATAGTATACATTTTTGCACTTGTTGAGAATAGGGCACTCACAAGATGAGTCATTTTCGATGAGATGACTTCATGAATGCTTTTGTTGAACTTGGTTCATTGCTTTACAGAAAATATGAACTTTTCAAGACTTTCAGCACTAGATGCTCACAATCAGCTTCTAAGGTACCACAGACCATTGGAGAAGTCCATTGCAGCTAGAAAATCCAAAAAAAGGTAAGGCCCATGAAATGCATGATACAGTATCCCAGAGATCCCCCCTACTTTTTCCATCCATGCCATGCTTATGCCTGAGTAGGTTCCTGAGAAGCGTTTAGAGTTATTGTGTGACTAGAAGTAGGAAAAGATGCCACATCAAAGTGAGAATAGAAACAGATAATGCCAAATTTAAAATAGCTTTGAAGTGATGTAATTTGATAATTCATAATAAACCTTTTCCCCCTTAATTTTGACATTCTTATGAAAAACTTATATTTTTTTTTAACATGATCATTGTTTTTGGAATTTCTTGGGAGTAAGCTGCTACTTCATTTGTATAGTTGGGAAATGCCATTTAAAAAAATCAAAACATTATAACAAACTTTAGGTGCAGAATGGCAGCTTGGCTGATAATATTCCAGCCTCAGTATGCCTGAACCACAATATGGAATGTTTTCACTCAATAATTCCACAAGAGGGTGCATTGGCAAAATATTCTGAGCTCTGGAAAGAGGAAGATATTTATCCTGGATTATTGATAACATACAAAAAAAGTAGCAATCTTGTTGAAAAAAAAATAAATCTCATTGGCATACCAGAAAATTTTATTAATGGAAAATTTGCATCAATTGTCTTCATTACACCTCTTACTGCTTATCCCTTATCAAACAAGACTCACAGGGATACATTCAAAAGGTCATTTTCTCATCACTCAGAGCAATCCTTTTCCCTTTAGCAGAGGCATGGAGATTCTTGATAAACTTATTAAATATTTCCATGGCTGGCTGAAGGGAAGTGTACATATAATCCTTCTGACCCTTGGGTGCAGAACTCTCTTCCCCTTTTGCCTGATCCAACTGTGTGATGACTTCAGCAATAGTTGGAACTGAATCAAGAGAAAATTTATCAATGTGATCCACATCAATTGGTACACAGATGTTTCCTGTATCTGGATGAATGCATAGAGGTGCTTTGAGCAAGTGATTCAATCCTTTGGTGACATTAACATCCAATCTTGGATATGCATATAGAAGCATAATCTCCTCCACCAGATGAGCAGAAAACTGCCTCATTTTCTTCTTGCCTTGATAGTCTTTGAAGATCTCTTCAAAGCATTGCCATCTGGCCTGAGAAGTAGTCTGACGACTCATGACCTGAGCCACATCATCTCGCATGGCCTTTTCTGGAATGAGTTCTAGCATTTGTTTCATTCTGTTTTCTGTGCCCAGAATATCTTGATCAATGACACATACTTCCTTAAAGCTTTTTCTAATTATCTCCACTGATCGCTTCACATGATGATGAAGCCTTGGAGGAAGCTGGACTTTCTTCTGCATGTTTTCACCCCCACGGACTATTGTGAGATATTCAGCAACAGCAGAGCGAGCAGCAGTATTCAAAGACCGAGCTTCCTTGTCACAAACCCAACAATGGATTCCTCGACGACCAGAGAAGACCCAGAGTAAATGCTTGAAACCAAAGTCTTCTCTCAAGGCCACATCAATGATCTTCACTGCAAGGGTCATGAGACGAAAACACTTGTCACAAATGGATTTTTCATTGCAGCAGTTTCGTACATCATCATAATCAGACACATCAATGTCAAACACCAATTCCTTCTCCTGTGCAACAATTGAGCTCACCATGAACCGCTCCTTTGGCCGCCAATTGAAAACAGCACCAATTTCAATTCGCGATGGGACTCTTTCTTTGATGTCCTTCATGAACTCTTCTTGATCTTTGTAAGACAGGAAACGAAAGAATCCTCCATCCAATGTTGAAATGGAGAATTCCCGATTGGGGAAGTACTGCTTGTCCAAATTCTCATAGCTCAGCCACTTGTAGAACATGTCATAGGGGAAAAACCGGTTGTAATATACAGGCAGCAGCTCTCTCAGCTGCCCTTTGTCATATGCTACTGCTGCAATTGGCATGCTTGCTTTCAATAAAAAAACACTGAAAAAAAAAACTCATTTTTCAGTGACTGGGAACTGAGTTGAATACCTTAAACCTAATATATTGCTACAGGTGGGTTACATGACTTGTCACTTCCTGTATATTACATTATACTCAATCCAAGAAAGTTACCTCATATTTTTGAAGCAATTAAACATTGTTTTTCTTGCATATTCAATATTTTAAAAAAGCAAAAAAAGTAAACTTTCTTTTAATGAAAAGGTGCCAAAAAAAATGGTGTGCAAAGAACACCTCATACCAGCACCCTTTGGGGGTGAGGAAGGTTGTCAAAAGTGTTTGACCCAGTTTCATTTACTGGATATTCTCCCCATCACCAAAAAGTTGGTTATCATGATCTAGGGGCTAAAAAGGATTTCCAGAATCTGTTCCTGGAGTGTTGCTTCTACAGCATTTAGGTCAACAGCTCCAGACATTGTTAGTGCTGCATTTGCAAGTGGTCAGGGAAAGCTGCAGGCCAATTTTCCAAACGGAGAACGAACGTTCAGCACAGTCAATCATCAACAGATTCGCAAGATTAATCGATATCAACACTATCAGATCGGGAGATGGATTATAGCAATAGGCTTACAGCACTACGCCTAAAACTATTCAGAACAGTTTCGGTGCTCCATGGGCCTCTTCCTCATTCATGATTCAAACCCGATATAAAATAATGCCATATGCGGGACCGTAGCTTGGCCGATCTCATTAAGCGCATTCAAAAGGCCTAACATAGCAAAGCCATTACAAGCAGCTAACGTTAGAGAAGCGCAACCAATAATAAGATTCCTTTACTGCTTCTAATCGCCGGACCATCATATTGGCTTCACCGATCTTGAGAGTCAGATGTCAGGAGGATCCTGCAATGCTGAGTGCTACAGTATGCAATTGCCTAGTGCTCCCACGTGGCTGAGCTCACAGAGCTCTGAGTTCTTCGCGCCATTCACCATGATCCCTGCCTATCCCGCTTATGCAACAGTGTTGTCCAAAATTTGGCTGTTTTCCATCATGTAATAATAGGCCTCATTTAGGAATTCGTCACGTCAGTTCAGTAAGGTTCTATCTTGACCGGGGGGTGACATGAAAAATTGATAACCCATCCGGGTTACCAATTTTTCATATGTCAACCCCCCCCCCCTCCCCTTATTGGGATATTCCGGGCACGCTACTGAGAAATCCTATCATTTGGTGACCTCCCCCCATCCTCTCCTTCACGAGATTGTAGCAAAGGAATTGATGAAGAGGGGTGGGGGCATGCCCCTTTCCCTCACTATTCCAAAATGATGAATTTGGCCTACTCACTTTTGAGTCACAACTCCTTGCGGACGATAGGGTTTTCCTATTCCCCCTCCTCCGGAGAAGGATGAAACATGATTCAAACCCATAATTTGCATGAGAGAAAGGAAAACAGGCAGGAAAGGATGAGCTGTACTTGATGTCCTTAATCCATGGAATTAATTGAATCATGATTGAATCTGAAGCAATCTGAAGTTTTACGAGTACAAACTGATCATCTGTAGACCTCGGATCGATGTCACATCTTTCCTCCTTTACTTTTTTGACTGAGAATTACCGGTAATAATTAAGGTACCGATGGAAGACGTGCTGAAGCACTATGTCGGCTTGCTTAAACCCAAACAAGGGTCAGAGAATTAATTTCTCGGTCATGCCATAGGGTAAGGAGGAAAATTTTGGCATCATTCCGAGGTCTACAGATAGTCATTCTCCTTACATAGCATATGCTCACATCTGATTCAATAACCTCCCCCCTTCCAACTCTTGAGCCAAAATGCGCCACTGGTCATCCCCATCCCGCTTTGCTTCCGCGTTTTGTCTCGTTTCTTTTCCGACAGTGTAACTCCGCTTTGATGAGCATGTTCAACAGGCTCTTCGTGGCGAAGAGTTCGTGACGTGGTCCTCTATCTCAGTGGTTCTCAACCGGTGGGCCGCGGGCCACTGGTAGGTCGTGGAGGTGCCGCGGCTGGACCGTGACAAGAATCCGTAAATTAAAAAATGACAATTAACAGTTAGACGAACAAGGTGTCTATAGTGGTCCTCGGATAACTTTTAAGTTGTTAATGTGGGCCGCAGGATCGAAAAGATTGAGAACCACTGCTTCATTTGATAGTCTGCTTCTGGCAGTACAAATAGATTTTCTGCTCAGGAGAGATGATATTTCTCATTCTGAGGTGCATGACAGAGCGATCAGGTATCACATCAATGGGTATAATCCAGAATGCACTTGTGTTACCCCTTCGCATCTAATTGGCTGATATCCTCTCAACTCTTTTCCTCCATATGCATATGAATAGATTACAAATGGATTCTTTTATCTACGCACGGACGTATATACAGTATATATATATATATATTTCTTGCATATATTGTGCCGTAAGACATACTGCATCTACATGCAAAATATTGTCTCGTACGTGAGTCACTCCGAAAGCTTTTCGACTTTGCACCTACAAATGAAGATGAATGAGCAAGGTACGTGGAGTGTTTAAAACGAGAGGGGAATAGAAATTGTCCATAGGCAAGGGTGAGAGAAGCTAGTATCGGAGCGCACCCCTGCTCATTCGCGCAGCAGGATTTTCTTCGATTGAAAAGGTCAGCCGTTTATGCCGAAAAAAAGCGAGAGCCAGTGCGACGCCATTCATAATCGCACGTATACCTCATCTGTTTTGTACGGCATTCTGGCAATATGAGAAAGCAGAATTACGTACAAGTTCAGGGAGATTGATCGTTAAGTTAAGTGAAGAGGAGAGGGTGGAAAATTATTAATATACTAGCTGGGACCAGTGAAATATTCACGTCTTCCTATTTGAAATTGATCGACTTCTGTCCTATAACACTTAAATTAAACACAGAGCTGGAATTTCGAACAGCCATATGTTGGATAAATATTATATGGTGCGTCCCTTCATTCCCCCCCCCTTCCCCAGATCCCCGAATTTCCCTATAAACCAAACTTCAGCAGGTTCTGTTCTATAATATATTCAAATGAGACGCACTGTACGAATTAGGAACTCTCGTGTATCAGATGAAGAAGGGGAGACGCTTACCATCCTCAGAGAACCCTAATTTTCCTTTATAGCAATTTTAAGTGAGTTCCTTCTGAGGATTCTAAAGGAATAACGTTCGAATTTCAGACTGCCACGCTTTGTATCAATCATAGGGGATGCGTTGTGTTATTAGGGAACCCTCAATTGCATGTATGCAAATTTTCAGCGAGTTCCGCCTGCAGCATTCAAGTGAGATACTGTACGTCGTTCGAATTTCGAACGCCCTCAGGCTCCCCTCTTTTGCCCTCAGGGCATATGAGGGCATACAGCTCGTCCAGTCCCAGAAAGGACCAGTCGGCACGAACCCACCCATAATGGGGTGACATTTCTTATAACTTGTCAAAACCTGTCAAAGCCCAGCAGGAGACCGAACTGAGAAAAGAGCAACAAAGGCGGACTTGGAAGCTTAGCATAAGACAGTCTACAATTCGCATGCTGAGTGATCTGTATCTCGAGTCGGGGTGGCCGGCCCACCTCCCCGCTTGGAGCAGGACGCCACTGAATCCGCCCTTAGGCTGTGGGCATGAATGACATTTGGAGGGAGGAAAGGAAGGGGTTGAGGGCTTGAATATGACAAACGAGCTATTTGGGCTCCTTTGTGGATTAAAAGTGGTCCTTTCTGGGCCTGGACGGACTGTAAGGTTGCGCTGATTGGCCGATGATCCTTACCCCCACCTCACCCCTAGGAAATTCCAACGCCCAAAATTAGCCTTCGGAATTGAGAACCTTCTTCCTCGAGACGTATGTAACGCCCCCGGGTGAGGTATAATTTGGGGAACCGGACAAAATGACCCCGGACAAAACGGCCCCGGACATAATGGTCCCAAATGCAATGTAGGACATAATGGCCCCACACACCAGAAAACCAGCTTCTTTGAATAAGGATTAATTTTTCCCTCTCAGATATTGATATGCTGTTCAAATGATTAAAATCTATTAAAATAGTTATAATTCATTAACACAATTTATTAAACTAACGCAATTTTACTTGACCCATCCCACCCTGTTTACCCTCTGATCCTGATCCTCTGTTCCATCTAATCCTCTGATCCAATCAGCACTTCCCAGTCAAAAAGTCAAATATCCCACCTTGTTACCCTGTAATCCTCTGATCCTCCAATCAGCACTAGCAGCACCCAACCGCCTTCATTGATGACCATCTTCTGACTTTCACTTTTACTGCAGCTACATTTGTATAAAAGAGCAATTTGAAAAGAGTCATCCAGGAAATTACAGGCCGGTAAGTCTCACGAGTATCCCAGGTAAGATCATGGAGAGGGGAACCGGACAAAATGGCCCCAGACATAATGGTCCCAAGTGCAATGTAGGACATAATGGCCCCACACACCAGAAAACCAGCTTTTTTGAATAAGGATTAATTTTTCCCTCTTAAATATTGATATGTTGTTCAAATGATTAAAATCTAATAAAATGGTTATAATTCATTAACACAATTTATTCAACTAACGCAATTTTACTTGACCCATCCCACCCTATTTACCCTCTAATCCTCTGATCCTGATCCTCTGTTCCATCTGATCCTCCAATCAGCACTAGCAGCACCCAACGCCTTCATTGGTGACGATCTTCTGACTTTCACTTTTACTGCAGCAACATTTGTATAAAAGAGCAATTTCCCTCGATTCAAATATTCATACGTTTACGGAGTACAGAAAAAAAGAAGGAAGATATGTTATTCTCCCGTGGAATAGGCGATTGTATGCATGGTATTTTATATTTTATCATCCTGTTATACCTAAGTGGCAGCATTACTTGCGAAATATATCTTATTCATTCTTGAGTGTGTATTATTGCTTTGAATACGGTCAAACAACACAATTTTGCAAGAAACTGCAGGGAATCCCCCCAAGAAGAGGCAGGAGCTGGTATACAAGGAAATGCAGCAGAGGCTG